TCACTCTGTCACAAGACTAAAGTGCAGTGGCTTGATCTCGGCTCACTGCAACCTCTACCTCCCGGGTTCAAGCAATTTTCCTGCCTCAGCCTCCCGAGTTGCTGGGACTACAGGCATGTGCCACCACGCCCAGCTAATTTTTGTATTTTTTAGTAGAGATGGGGTTTCACCATGTTGGCCGAGATGGTCTCAATCTCTTGACCTTGTGATCCACCTGCCTCGGACTCCCAAAGTGCTGGGATTACAGGCGTGAGCCACCGCGCCTGGCCGAGAATGGCCTTCTATGCAACACTTTGGTTTCTTTCTTTTTTTTTTTTTTTTGAGACAGAGTCTCACTCTGTCACCCAGGCTGGAGTGCGGTGGCGCCATCTTGGCTCACTGCAACCTCCACCTCCCAGGTTCAAGCACTTCTCCTGCTTCAGTCTCCCGAGCAGCTGGGATTACAGGCACCTGCCACCATGCCTGGCTAATTTTTGTATTTTTAGTAGAAACAGGGTTTCACCATGTTGGTCAGGCTGGTCTTGAACTCCTGACCTCAGCTGATCTGCCCACGTAGGCCTCCCAGAGTGCTGGGATTACAGGCATGAGCCACTGCACACAGCCACACTTTGGTTTCTTAGTTGAGCTCTCCGCAGTGAGACAGAGTTGAGGGGGAAAGAAAAAGGTGCTGTCAGAGTAGGTGAGAGAGAAGCCAAGCAGCAGAAAAGTCAATATTAGTTTTGCAGTCATCTTATTACACTACATTTGTTTTAAACTAAGATGTTAGTTTACAAGGTCCCTCCGGAAATGACAGACTATTTGTTCTTCCATGGAAGGTAAGCCGTTTGAAAGGATTTTTTAAAAAGCAAGGATAAAAGAACAATCTAATGTACCAGGATACAAGGCTAAAATAATTTTTTTCTAGAAAAACAAAAGATTCCAATCTATTTATAGTGTATAGCTAATGGATATAAGAAAACATTTTCAGGAAAATTAATGACGATATGAAGAGCCGTTCTTTTGTTTGAAAACTCGGTTAGCTTTGTGAGGGGAGGGAGAGAGTCTCTCATGCTTTTGGTTCACTCAGAGCCAAGCTGGCTGGGACCACCAAAGCCACCCCACTAACTCATCTGATGAAGAGACTGTGGTCTCAGTGGCAACTGCCATTTATTGAGAGCCTCCTACTTTCCAGGTCTTTTACATGAACTTGCTCATTTAGTTCAACAGCTCTGCAACGAGGCTTTAGTGTCCCCACTTTAGAGGGGCGGTGTGAGAATGTTTCATTTTAGAAGCTGAGATTCCCTGGACCTTGCTCTGTGTGTCCAGCCATGCACACCAGGACTTTAGGTGGCTTCTCTCCCATCATAGGCTCCATGCTCCAGGCCGCTTGAGCTAAGCCCACTTCCATTCTGGAAAGCTTTGGACTGGGAGCTGATGTCAGGAGATGCTGGAGGAGGCACAGAAGAGCAGACATGTGGGCTGCCCAGACTGTGATCACAGGCCACCAGGAGAGGGGCTTGGGATGCATTGGGCTCCGTGGTCCAAAGGAGGCGTGAGGGTCCTGTTGGGTCTCTAGCTCCCCAGCTCTGGGGTCTGTAGGCTGCTCCCTTCCCTCGCTCCAATGTCACCCTGTCTGGGAAATTCTCAGCTCCCCAAGGCCACAGGTCCTTCCCAAAGGGCCACATTCAGCCCTCGGTGATTTTCCTCAGAGACAGCAGTATGATCCGTTAGTCTTTTCTTCCTGCCACGGGATGGTGGGCTCTTGTGGGCTTCGGTGTGTTCTCCATGGTGCTGAGGTCCTGAACCTGCTCCTCGGCCTTGAATGCATAAGCCATCCTCCCCGCTTCCATCCCTTGTGTGGTGGTAAAGAGGGAAGGTCTGGAGCCCCACGGTCAAAGGTACCTGCACAGAGTACACAGCACCGGGTGGCACCTGACTCTTTGGCAGCCCTGAGGCCCACGCTGTGTGGAAAGCGACAGCCCAAGTGCCCGGGTTCAAGGCTGGCATGGATGCGGGAGCTTGTGACCTTGGGCCAGTCGCTCCACCTGTCTGGGATTCTGCTCCCCTCTCTTTAACAATGTGTGGGTGTCCCCAGGCACCTTCAGGGCAGCAGGGAAAGCCAAGACAACAGATGCCCGAGAATGACAGGAGGCACAGAATCGATGGCTTTCTAACACACACGGCACAGCCCACAGCGCCTCATTATTCCCAGACAGGATGGGGGAAGGGAGCCGACTGCTCTATTTTCCTTTTAATTATATAATTAATTTGGATTCTACCTTGTTCTAGAAATTATTAAAACCAGGCAGCCCAAAATTTCCAGTAACATCTTTTCTTTATTACCGAAGTAATTCACTTTCATTGTAGAAAATTTAGAAAATACAGATAGTTTTTTTAAAAAAACCAACCCACTCATCATCTTCCCAACTCTCCTGCACAGCTAAATATTGGACACTTCCGATGTTTATTCTCCTGGGCTTCTTTTCCGTGCCTCAATACACTTTAAAATATTTACTTAACAAACCTGGGATCTCACCTGGTTATTGTTTTCCACCTTTACGCTTTACCTAATCGAGAGGTAAATATCCTACGGTATCAGTCAATATAACCATGCACACAAATTTGCAATTACTTTTAGCAGCTCCAGGTATCTTATTCTAAGACCTGCCATACGCTTTAAAATTAATCATTCATTATTTCATGTATTGGGTTTTTCTAATTTTTCACTACTGACAGTATTAACATTAGACTGAACATCCTTAAACAGTGTCAACAGACCTGAAGATAATGGTGAAAACACCGTGGTTTCTTAGTCACTTAATTCCCTTGCCTCATTCAGATGAGAAAAGGAAACCATAGCAAAACATAAAGAAAGTTCAACACAATTCTGGTTTGTCTATGACACCCAGTTCAATCCATTTTTGAAATGTCGAAAATAGAATTCTTTTAAAAAACTGATTCCCTCCCTTTGCAGGTATCTAAACATCCTTATCTCTGCGCTTTTATTTCATTATTTACTAGACTGTCTTCCACAAAAGGACACTGCTGGGTCAGAGGACATGCATCTTTGTATGACTTTGAAGACATAGTGCCAAACTGTCTTCCAGAAACGACGTATCTGTTTATATTTCTTGGAGTGAACTGACTTTTCCACACCCTCTTTGCCAACCCATTAGGCAGAAAGTGCCTTCTCTTTGTTTCATGTGCATTCTATTCACTAATAAGGTTGAACACTTTTCTTCATCCATTAATTGGCTATTTGTACTTACTGGAAGAATAGTTGGTTCTTATTCTATCCCATTTATTTATTTTATTTTATTTTTGAGATGGAGTTTTGCTCCTATTGTCCAAGCTGGAGCACAGTGGTATGATCTTGGCTCACTGCGGCCCCCACCTCCCAAGTTCAAGCGATTCTCTCTCCTCAGCCTCCTGAGTCACTGGGATTACAGGTGCCCACCACCATGCCTGGCTAACTTTTTGTATTTTTAGTAGAGACGGGGTTTTGTCAGGTTGGCCAGGCTGGTCTCGAACTCCTGGCCTCAAGTGATCCACCCACCTCAGCCTCCCAAAGTGCTGAGATTACAGGTATGAGCCACCATACCCAGCCTCCCATTTGTTCTTTTTACAGGGCTGTCTTTTTCTTGTTGTCTGTCAGCGTTCTCTGTATTTTAAGGATATTACACCCTGTCTTTGTAATTTGTCAGAGTTAGTTTCCCATATGTAATTTACCTTTTCTGTTTTTATTCTTGTTTTTAAAAAATTTATGGGTAAAATATTTTTTATAATCCTATTTCCCAATATTTTAATTTATTGATTTTTCCTTTGGTGTTATGCTTAAAAAGTTTTTCTTACTACAAATTTACATTAAATTTTACTTCTTTTTCCTCTAAGTACTCTTATGTTTTTTAAATGCATGTAAATCACATGCAAATTATTACCACTCATGTTATGAGGAGGGAATCTCACTTTATTTTTTTATAAAAAGCCTTATTCCAAATCCATCTATCAAATGGTTCATTCTTCTTCACTGAATTGGGACGGCATCTTTAGCTCATCCTGATTACTTACACACAATCAGGGATGTAGCTATGCCTTTTTTTTTTCTTTTGTGAGATGAAGTCTCACTCGGTCACCTAGGCTGGAGTGCAGTGGTGCGATCTCAGCTCACTGCAACCTCTGCCTCCCAGATTCAAGCAATTCTCCTGCCTCAGCCTCCCAAATAGCTGGGATTACAGGTGCCGGCCACCACACCCAACAGCATTATGATCCACCTGTTCATTCTGGTCTTGAACTCCTGACCTCAGGTGATCCACCCACCTCGGCCTCCCAGAGTACTGGGATTAAAGGCGTGAGCCACAGTGCCCGGCCATAGCTATGCTTTTTATACCTTATCTATTTGTTTCTAAGATAGTGTCATTCTATTTATGTTTTCTTTTAAAATATGTTTTAATACCTGGAAAAACAAATACCCTCTTTGTTTTCTTAAAAAAAATTGATCGGTTTCAGGCAGTTCTGCCAAATTAACTTTAAAATCATTATCAAGTTCCAGGAATAGTTGTGTTGGGATAGAGACTGTAATTGTAATGGGTACACGGTTAGTTTGGGCTCAATAAACCTGTTTACAATGTTAAACTTGCCCAACCCTATTGCTTCTACTTTATAAAATGGATTTTAAAAATTATTATTCAATCAAGTTTGTAGACCTCTGGTTCTAAATCCTGTAAACTTTTTTTTTTTTTTTGAGATGGAGTTTCACTCTTGTTACCCAGGCTGGAGTGCAATGGCGCGATCTTGGCTCACTGCAACCTCTGCCTCCTGGGTTCAGGCAATTCTCCTTCCTCAGCCTCCTGAGTAGCTGGGATTACAGGCACGCGCCACCACGCCCAGCTAATTTTCGTATTTTTAGTAGAGATGGGGTTTCACCATGTTGACCAGGATGGTCTCGATCTGTTGACCTCATGATCCACCCGCCTCGGCCTCCCAAAGTGCTGGCATTACAGGCTTGAGCCACCATGCCCGGCCTGCACACTTTTTTTTAGCCCCTCAATACTTTATATTTTTGTGAGCAGAATCTCTTCTGTTTTCTTTACAGCCACACCAGTGTTGCCAGTCTATTGTTTCTCTCCCACATGAGGGCAGGGACTCAGGCCTGGAGGCCATTTAAGATCATCTTTTTCCCCATTAATGTCAAAACTAAGAGTTTTGATAGAAGGTTTTTTATAGACTCAATGTGTCTGAAGCTTCTGGGAATTTGGAGGACACCCCCTCAGAATCTCTCAATACCCCTAGATGTGACAGCAAAACACAGCTGTCCTAAGCATCCTTCACTCATTTCCTAGTGCAGACAGTTGGCATTCACTTCTCTTTAGTTTTTTCTTAAAGGAAGATCCAGACACCCCAATCCCACTCTAGGATGTTCAGACTGAAGGCTCCCCAATGATCTGTTTTACGCTTCTGAGCATGCATAATGGCTGCCGAGGATTCTGTAACAACGGTCACAAAATTTGGACTCTATAAAATAATACCTGGTTTGGACCATCAGGAAACCACACTCACTCAGCGGTTCTCACCCCTGGCTGAATATTAGAATCGTCTTCGGAAATTGTAAACACTACCAATGCCTAGGCCCTACCCTTGGAGATGCTGTCAGTCTGGGATTGGGCATCAGTGTATTTCAACCCCTGGCCCTCTCCACTAGCTTGGAATTTGATTCTGATGTGCAGCCAGGGCTAAGACCCACTTCTTCAAGTGGTACCCAACTGATACATCAAATACTTATGTATACACAACAGAAACAAATTATGGATAATTTAAGCAATACAGGGGTTTATTTAAATGATACTTAAATAGATACCTTTGTTTGGCCTTTGAGCGAGTCGAAGAACCCGCCTTGAAGTCTACGTTCCACTACCAGTTCTCCACATCACACCACAGAACTGACACAGTGACGATGCTACTGCCCACTGCTGGGCATACGCGCCCAAAGACACACCAGGGTTCGGGAGCCATTCTAACAAAACAATACAAAATCATAAACAGAAAATTAGGCACCAAAGTAAATACTCATAATGAGAAAAAAAATCACAACTTGTAACCGTTTTAAATTTAAATATTTAATATCATTAAGGTTAAATATTTAGATCTCTTCTAAACCAAATTATCCCCCAAATGCCCCATTTAAGCTTCATAAAATTTAGAAATATTACATATTTTAATTATTTGCCTGACACCACTCTACAATGTATCTTTCTTTTTCTTTCTTTTTTTCTCTTCCTTCCTTTCCTTCCATCCTTCCTTCTCTCTCCCTTTCTCTTCCTTCCTTCCTCTCTTCCTTCCTTCCTTCTTCCTTCCTTCCTTCCTTCCTTCCTTCCTTCCTTCCTTCCTTCCTTCCTTCCTTCCTTCCTTCCTTCCTTCCTTCTTCTTTCCTTCCTTCCTTCCTTCTTCCTTCCTTCCTTCCTTCCTTCCTTCCTTCCTTCCTTCCTTCCCTCCCTCCCTCCCTCCTTCCTTCCCTCTCTCTCCCTCTTTCTTTCTTTCTTAGACGAAGTCTCATTCTGTCACCTAGGCTGGAGTGCAGTGGCACAATCCATATTGATCAGGCTGCTCTCTAACTCCTGACTTCAGGTGATCCACCCACTTCAGCCTCCCAACGTGCTGAGATTATAAGCGTGAGCCACTGCGCCCTGCCTCAATGTATTTTTTAATTTCACTTTGGCTGTGGCTTAGTAAGCTTGGGCTGCTATAACAAAATGTCATAGACCAGGTGGATAAAACAACAAACATTGATTTCTCCCAATTCTGGAGGTTGGGAGTTGAAATTAGGGTATGAGTTTGGCCAAGCTTTGCCCCTCATGACCTCATCTAAACCTAATTACTTCTCTAACACTCGCTTACAAATACAGTCACAACAGGGGATTAGGGCTTCGAATTAGAAATCTTGGGGAGGAGAAGCATTCAGTCAATAATAGGCTATGTAAGAATATGGTCTGCTGGGCGCCGTGGCTCACACCTGTAATCCCAGCACTTTGGGAGGCCAAGGTGGGTGGATCACAAGGTCAGGAGTTTGAGACCAGTCTGGCCAACAAGGTGAAACCTGTCTCTACTAAAAATACAAAAAAATTAGCCAGGCATGGTGGTGTACATGCACTTGTAATCTCAGCTACTCAGAAGCTGAGGCAGGAGAACTGCTCGAACCTGGGAGGCAGAGGTTGCAGTAAGCCATGATCGTGCCACTGCACTCCAGCCTGGGCAACAGAGTGAGACTCTGTCTCAAAGAAAAATACATGGTTATAAAATGTAATCTTATAATATTTTCTGTAGAAAGAATAATTTGGTCTTTCCTTTAGCATGCTTGATCCAAATTTCTTTTTTAAATAATCTTTTTAATATAGAATAGTTTTATACTTACAGAAAGTTGTGAACACAGTACAAAGGGTTCCTTTATGTGTCTTACCCAGTGTCGTCTATTGTCTGTTTGTTGCAATGAATGAACCAATATTGATAAATTATTAGTAACCAAACTCTATATTTTATTTACATTCCCTAACGTGTTTTCTCATCTCCTTTTCTGTCCCAGGATCTCATGCAAGATAACACACTACATGTAATCATCCTGTCCCCTTAGCCTCATCCACACTGTGACAGTTTCTCAGACTTTCTGTGTTTTTAATGACCTTGACCATTTTGAGGCGTGCTGATGAGGTATTTTGTAGAACGTCCCTCAATTTGGGTTTGTATAATATTTTTCCGATGGTTAGACTGGGGTTATGGGCCTTTGGGAGGAGGGCCACAGAGGCCAAGTGCCATTTTCACCCCATCATATTATATGCTGTCATTGATAATGTTGATCTTGATCATCTGTCTGAGATCCAAATTTGTTTTACAACACTTATAATTTAGAAAAGTCTCTTTCAACCTCATACCTACTATTGGCAATGTCACGTAAAGTCGTAGGATTGTTGTTAAATGTGAAACAACCTCTATCAAGTTTCATCCGTAATCTGGCGGTCTAGAAGGGTTTCCTACAGACTAGCTTCTAGCTCATGCATTTTGGATCTTGTTTCCCCTCCACTCCCCATATAATTCCACAGCATGGTACTCAGGACATATTTATATTGCAATGCAATTTCTGTCCCAGAACCTTCCCATCGTGAACTTTGCTAATTTGGCACACAGTGGACAGTAGAAATTTCCTGGCAGCCATTCTCACCCCAGGGAGGCTAGCAAAGACTACAGAAGTAATTAGGAACCACATAAAGACGAGGCCACACTGAACTCAAATGAAATGTGTCCTAAGGCATCTTCCCCTTAGCTTGTCCCCAAAAAATGCCAGAACCACTCCAACCCCACGTGGCCTGCAAGGAAGTGTGACAAATGATACGCTGGAGTGGAAGGAGACAAGGATCAACCTTAACAAATCACAGTTCAAATATCTTGCTTTTGCAGCTTGTGTAAAAACATGTGAACACATTGCTGGAACTCCCTCCTAGACCTCGGAAGAGGCTTGTTCTAGTAAGGCGCCTCCAAATAGAAGTCATTAGATTAACCATTCATCTGCCTCGGCAAATGCCTTAGTGTATGCTACAGACCCCCTTGACCGTGAACCCAAGATGCTGCAGCTTGAAGCACGACCACTACTGTCTCTGGAAATCAGATATGCTGCTGCCCTAGAAAAGATTCTTCATCATGTCTGCTTTGATTTGTCACCACCTTTCAATTCAAAGTCTGAGGAGGGTGTTTTGCATTGGTTGAACCTAGAGATTATGCCTTTGCTCTAGGTGCAGGGGAGGCTGGGTATGTATCTGTTAATTTGAGCTTATAGACTGAAGATATGTTCTGCCTTCTAGTGTGGGAGTCCTCAAATCAAAGCAGAAAATTTATTGTTTGTAGCTGCATTTTTTTTTTTTAAAAAAAAGCATGAAACAATTTAAAAGGAACTAATAAAAGTAGTTACCTGCAGGGGTGGGTAATGGGAGGAGATTAGGAGCCAGACTTGGTTTTTCTATCATTTTGAGTTTTAAAACATGTGCATATATTATTTAGTCAAAAATTTAAACTTTTAAGGGCAATATAATCATATTACCAAATGTCACAAATAGAAGGCATTTCTCTCTTTAATCAACATTCTGAGTGAGGATTAAAAACATTATACTACTGAGTGTGCTGCTCTGTTTCCATCTGTGTTACTTAATGCCACCAAATCCATCAGGCCAATTTGCTTTCCTCTTTTCTTTGCCTATTTTGGCATCCTCCCAAATGGCTCATTTTCACAACAGCACCATGAATTGGCAGCGATTAGCCTTACTGGTAGGGGGAGAGAAGGTATGGATTCCCCAAACAGTGCAATATAACCTGACTCAGTTTCTTGTTGGGAGATTTCAGAACGGTTTCTCTCACACAAAGGAGCCTTTTCAGAACCAAACACTGCATTGGGTGCCTAGGTACAGTGAAGCCAGGGAAGATCTGCTCCTTGTCCAGAGATGAATCCTCAGGGTTTGTGAAGTTCTGGGGCAGGGGGCAGGGGAGATCCCCAACCAAGGAGTGGAGTGGCAGATTTCATAAAGTGCTTCTGGAGCAATCCTGGCCTATCAGAAAAAACAAGGATTCCTCTTTGAGAAGAGAAAGCCTTTAACGTGGAAGATAAAGAAAGGACCCAGCTAGAAGAAATCCTCAAAATATTTAACCACTTGCATAGGATGAACCTGACCAATCAGAACCTGACAGGTTTCAAAGCTTCAGAGAAGTCTAGAACCCTGGGTGACTAAGGGAAAGTGATCAGGAAGAGGGCTGAGAAAACTGGAAGCACACCTGGTATGAAAGTCGTGGTTGGAGTCTGTTCTGATTAGGAGGTGGAGAGGCAACTGGATGCTAACTACGAATTCACTATTTATTACTATTTAATACAGAGGCTGTGCTGTCTATAGTCTCTGCTGAAGTCCTCCCTCCCTCCCTCCTTCCTTCCTTCCTTCCTTCCTTCCTTCCTTCCTTCCTTCCTTCCTTCCTTCCTTCCTTCCCTCCCTCCCTCCCTCCCTCCCTCCCTCCCTCCTTCTTCCTTCCTTCCTTCCTTCCTTCCTTCCTTCCTTCCTTCCTTCCTTCCTTCCTTCCTTCCTTCCTTCCTCCTTTCCTTCCCTCCTTCATTCCCTCTTTTCTTCCTTCCTTGACAGGGTCTTGCTCTGTCTCCCAGGCTGGAGTATAGTGGTACAATCTTGGTTCACTGCAACCTCCACATCCCAGGTTCAAGCAATTTTCCTGCTTCAGCCTCCCAAGTAGCCAGGATTACAGGTGTGAGCCACAGTGTACAGATAATTCTTTTGTACTTTTAGTAGAGATGGGGTTTTGCCATGTGGCTAGGCTGGTCTCAAACTCCTGGCCTCAAGTAATCCACCCACCTCTGCCTCCCAAAGTGCTGGGATTACAGGCTTGAGTCACCATGCCCAGCCCCGAAGTCTTTCTAGAAGGATTCTTCACCTTATTTTTGTCCTAGAGACAGTAGACAGTCAATACTCAGTAATCACATCCCAATCCAATACGGCCTACTCTGAGGAATGGAGGAAGAGCTTGGTTCTGGATTGGACTCTTCTCCTCGCAAGGCAGGCATGAGAGCAAGCCTTGCTATTCATGAGCTTATGAATAATCTTGAGAAATCTTGAATTCACCTGTGGTCACTCCTTCTCCCCAACCCAAGGAGAAGAGAAGCTTGTCCTCTTGGATGCTGTTGGGAGCCTACAGCCTACCCCCACACACAGGCCCCTGTGACTGTCCAAAGTTCAGGTGTCTTCAAGGCCATCCTCACCTGGGGAGACATCAGCACATTAGGAGTGTCAGTCATTCTGGATATAACTATCTTGTCTATGACCAGGTCAAGCTACAGACAGCTTAGAAAGTTTTAGGTGCTAGATTAGTAATCACAACCAATGTGATTCAACCATCTATCTGGTTGTACTTTTTAAAAAGTGTTTTCAGCCATACCATCCGAGTCCGGGATATTTTAAGCAGAAAGACTCATCCAAGCATCACAGGATAAGCACCCAAATCAGAACAAGCTCCTGGTATCTGCAGCTCTTTTCTTATTACTGCTCATCTTCCCTGTCCAGACTTTGAGGATTTATCCCCTGTTGTGGTCCTGAGATTGCCCCTTGGATACAAGGACAGTTTTCGTTTCGGTCTAATCTGCCAGATTTGATCCTTGGATCTGCACTGGGAATAGATACCCCTGATCATCCTCCTGTGCAGTAAAGAATTAACCTTTTCCAAACGAGGGTTGACTTTTGCCCTCAGCACATGGGAGGTAACTTCTAAGCGCTTGAACTATTTTGCCTGAGAAGAATGCCTTTGTTTACATGGAGAGCTTGGGCTATGCCAAAGGGTCTATGTTATCAATGTGATTTATGGTGGGAACTTTGAACCACACAGTGCCAACCTGACCTCTGGAAGGGTTGGTGACCAAGGTCAACCCAGCAGATGGTCAATCATGTCTACATGAACAAGTCCCAATAAAAACTGTGCACACTGAGGCTCTGGTGAGTTTTTCCTGGGTAATAATACTCTGTGCGTGATGTCAATATTGCATCTGAGAGGTGCTCTCTGCACAAATCATGTTTAGCAACTTCTAAACTCTGACCTATACCCTCTTCCCTCGGAGGATTTTAATCTGTATCCTTTCATGGTGATAGAAAGGATACAACCATGAGTATAATGACTTTTCTGAGTTCTGTGCATCTTGCTAGCAAATCATTAAATCTGAGATGGTCCTGGGGACCTTCAACTTGTTGTTGACGTCAGAAGTGAGGATGGTCTTGAGGACGTCTGAACTTTTCAACCTTAAAGTAGAACTCTAGCACCAACTCACCTGGCCACAACTCCCATGAGAAGCAGTTAGCAATCTTCATTCCAGAACTTGGGGACATTCTGCTTTCCCTCCTTTCTTGGTCAGCCGGTCTCTTCGCAGCCACTGCACACTTAGAACAGTCTGAGGCCGGGCGCGGTGGCTCAAGCCTGTAATCCCAGCACTTTGGGAGGACAAGGCGGGTGGATCACGAGGTCAAGATATCGAGACCATCCTCGTCAACATGGTGAAACCCCGTCTCTACTAAAGATACAAAAAATTGGCTGGGCATGATGGCGCGTGCCTGTAATCCCAGCTACTCAGGAGGCTGAGGCAGGAGAATTGCCTGAACCCAGGAGGCGGAGGTTGCGGTGAGCTGAGATCGCGCCATTGCACTCCAGCCTGGGTAACAAGAGCGAAACTCCGTCTCAAAAAAAAAAAAAAAAAAAAAAGACCAGTCTGAACTCCTAGTTTCCCACTGGAGCCTTTCTGACCTCATCCCCAAACCAGGTTAAACACTCACACTTCCTGTGTATCCTCTTCTAAAGACATCTCCCTTTCCTGTATTATTGCCTTCTCTTATCAGGCACATATCCCAGGCTCCTACCTGTCCAAATGAGGCCCTCCTCCTGTCAATCAGTGTCTGAATCATCAGAGTTCACCACATCTTCTGAGCTGGTATTTCCATATCATATCAGTCTGCTGAAAATAAGTTCCAATATACAGACACAAGGAGATCCAGCTAAAAGAGCCCAGTAAATTCACTATTTATTACAGAATGACAAATGGAGGTCTTCATGTAAATGCAGAAAATCAGGAGGCCCTGGAATTGCACAGAAAGAAAGAACATGAGAATTAGGAAGGGCAGTTCTGCAGCTTTCGTAAGAAAAATCCATCAAACACAAGAGAGAAAATTAGATTTCCTATTCTGTTTTTTCAGTAGTGATCCAAATAATATTTGAGCTAAATACCATCTACAACAATATCATGGGGAAGTACAATGAAAACACAGTAATGTGGATCGATTGGCAAAGAGCTCGATATGAGTTAACGAAAGTTAGAATTGCAGAATTTAATGGAAGAAACACAATAAAATTACTTCGAAATACTTCCATAGATTATAAAAAAACATAACCAGGCCGGGCGTGGTGGCTCAAGCCTGTAATCCCAGCACTTTGGGAGGCCGAGGCGGGTGGATCACGAGGTCGAGAGATCGAGACCATCCCGGTCAACATGGTGAAACCCCGTCTCTACTAAAAATACAAAAAATTAGCTGGGCATGGTGTCGCGTGCCTGTTATCCTAGCTACTCGGGAGGCTGAGGCAGGAGAATTGCCTGAACCCAGGAGGTGCAGATTGCGGTGAGCCAAGATCACGCCATTGCACTCCAGCCTGGGTAACAAGAGTGAAACTCCATCTCAAAAAAAAAAAAAAAAACAAAAAAAAAAAAAAAAAAAAAGAACATAACCACGTAGAAGTCTTATGGGTCGATTGCAATAAGTAGACAATTTTCACGTGCCAGTTCCCATTATTTTAATCCAACTCAAGTGCTTTAATAATGTGAAAAATAGTTTCCATTCTTAATCAGATCAAATATTTTTCCCAAGGCATCTAAGATTGTGTTTAGTAAATCTGTATAAATAGCAATTCTCATCTCTCATGAAGGCAAATTTGAGGGAGCAGGAGGGAAGGGAGGAAGGCCTAAGTTAATAAAGAATTACTTGATTAGAATGAGTTGGCATATTACAGATGTATAAAATCAAGAAAGGGCTTGTTTTTCACGGATAAAAGTAGATTCAAACTAACAAATGTGTGGTCCAAGAAAGTACTATTATTACTTAATTTCATTTACTTATGTATTCATTCACACATTCATTCGTTGGGCAAACCTTTCTTTTTTTTAATTATACTTTAAGCTCTGCGATACATGCAGAACGTACGTATACATGTGCCATGGTGGTTTGCTGCACCCATCAACCCATCATCTACATTAGGTATTTCTCTTAATGCTATCCCTCCCCTACCCCCTCACCCTCCAACAGGCCCCCATGTGTGATGTTCCCCTTCCTGTGTCCATGTGTTCTCATTGTTCAACTTCCACTTATGAGTGAGAACATGCAGTGTTTGGTTTTCTGTTCCTGTGTTACTTTGCTGAGAATGATGGTTTCCAGCTTCATCCATGTCTCTGCAAAGGACATGAACTCATCCTTTTTGATGGCTGCATGGTATTCCATGTTGTATATGTGCCACGTTTTATTCATCCAGTCTATCACTGATGGGCATTTGGGTTGGTTCCAGGTCTTTGCTATTGTGAACAGTGCTGCAATGAACATACATGTGCATGTGTCTTTATAGTAGAATGATTTATAATCCTTTGGGTACATGCCCAGTAATGGGATTGCTGGGTCAAATGGTATTTCTGTTTCTAGATCCTTGAGAAATTACTAAACTGTCTTCCACAGTGGTTGAACTAATTTTTTTCCCACCAACAGTGTAAAAGTGTTCCTATTTCTCCACAGCCTCCCCAGCATCTATTGTTTTCTGACTTTTTAATGGTTGCCCTTCTAACTGGAGTGAGACAGTATCTAGTGGTTTTGATTTGCGTTTCTCTAATAACCAGTGCTGACGAGATATTTTAAAAATCTCGTCAGCACTGGTTATTAGAGGAGAAACAGCTATAATTTTAAAACCACTTTATGATGGGATCTTTTCATAAATTTCACTGTGCTTTTCTTTTTAACATTACAGACCTACCATTTTCCCACCTGTCTATCCACTCATCAGAGCAAAGGAGGGTGAGATTGTAGCACTGGACAATTGCTGATGTCTCCATCTGCTTCAAGCTTAGGGTAATAATGTAGGGGTAGCAGAAGATGAGAGTTAAAAACTGACTACTAATGCTTTGCAAAGTGGATTGGATTTGATCCTATAGGCAGTGAAGAGTCATCAAAAGGATTTAAGCAGGGGAGTGATGTAATTGTAAAAAAAAAAAACCCAAATATTTATTTGTTGGCCGCATAAATATCTTCTTTTGAGGAGTGTCTGTTCATATCCTTCGCCCACTTTTTGATGGGGTTGTTCAGCAAACATTCCTTTAAGACTTATTTTAGGTCCCATATTTGGTTTTGGTGATCAAAGATATACAAAGCATTATTTCTGCCCTCAAGGCATTTGCAGTCCACTAGGACTCTTCAAATGGTAACAATTCAGTGTGGCAAATAGTCTCCTGGTAGGTTCTCAGAGAGCACAGAGTGAAGGACACTCCCCTTCTTCCTGAGCATAGAGTTCGATATTTCCCAGCTTCCTCTGAGGTCACATGTAGCCACATGACTCACTCCTCCCAATGGCATGTAGACAGAAGTCATGTCTACCTCTGCGGGGTCTAGGATTAGGAGATGGGCATACTTTCCGCCTTTTTTCCTCTTGTAACAGGCAGAATAGTCCCACCTTGACAATAGATGAGGTCAATGCCATTGGGTCTGGACGACGATGGAGCAGAGACTTGGCAACCTGGAAGAAACCGAGTCCCTGCCCACATGCCTGGCACCCTTGAATGGGCAGATGGAACAGAACTGCCCACGAACCTGGCCCACTCACTGCTGAACTGTTACTTGGGGGGGAGGAGAAACAGCTATAATTTTAAAACCACTTTATGATGGGATCTTTTTATTCACTCATTATGAAAATGTTCACACATATAGAAAAGCTAAAAAAGAACTGTACAATAGACATTCATATATCCACAGCATAAATTATACCATTAAAATTTCACTGTGCTTTCCTTTTTAACGTTACAGACCTACCATTTTCCCACCTGTCTATCCACTCATCAGTCCTTTTTACTTTTTGAACAAAATTCAAAGTATATTGCAGACATCTCTACATTTCAACCTAAATACTTTGTCATGCAAATTACTAACTAGACTTGTTCTTTGGATGAAACAACTTACAATGTAATGAACAAATCTTAAGTGTGTAGTTGTTGAGCTTTGACAAATATTACACCCACACAACCCAAACCACTATCAAGATCAAGATCATTCAATTTCCCCAGAAGTTCTATTAGGGTATTTCTGTTACAGCAGCTTAGCTCTACCTAAAATCATATACAGAGTCATAATTTTAATAATAGGTAGAAGAGCTGAACATCTTTTATGTGTCAGGGGTTATATAATGCATATTTTATTTAATTTTCACAATAAAGTCACGGTGTACGTATCGTTAGCTCTGTTCTACTGATAAGAAAAATAAGGTTTAAGAAATTGTCCAGGTTCACTCAGCTAGTAAGTGGCAGAGATGAGCTCTGCATCTAGACGCCACTGATTGTAAGACCTGGCATCTTTCCTCTACTCTCTTTGACTGACCCTGCCTGAGGGCTTCGGGGGGAGCTTAGCTGCACAAAGGAAGGATATTTGAGCTGCATCTTGAGCCCCAACCCTGGAAGATTGAGCTGAATTCACTCCCTAGAAGGATAAAGCAGGGAAGGGCCTTCCATGCAGAAGAAACATCCAAAGCAAAGGAGGGTGAGATTGTAGCACTGGACAATTGCTGATGTCTCCATCTGCTTCAAGCTTAGGGTAATAATGTAGGGGCAGCAGAAGATGAGAGTTAAAAACTGACCAAGTTACTAATGCTTTGCAAAGTGGATTGGATTTGATCCTATAGGCAGTGAAGAGTCATCAAAAGGATTTAAGCAGGGGAGTGATGTAATTAGATTTGCATTTTACAATGCGGCTTAGAATGCTGTTGATGCAGAAAATGGCATGGGAAAGAGACAGGGGCTAAGGAGACCAATGATGAAATAGATGAAGTAGTTCTTTGGCTTGAGGATCCAAACAGAGCAGTTACTATGGAGACCATGAGCACAAGCTGGAAGACAGGTCAGCTGGTGATTCCCGCTTCCAGGACAAGCTTCCATCTTTTCTGTATGTGCTCTAGTTAAGAAATCTTTAAAGGCAGGGTGCAGTGGCTCACACCTGTAATCCCAGCACTTTGGGAGGCCAAAGCAGGAAGATCACGAGGTCAGGAGTTCAAGACCAGCCTGGCCAATATGGCAAAACCCCATCTCTACTAAAAATACAAAAGGTAGCGAAGCATGTGGCATGCACCTGCAGTCCCAGCTACTCAGGAGGCTGAGGCGATGACTTGCTTGAACCTGGGAGGTGGAGGTTGCAGCGAGCTGAGATCACGCCACAGCACTCCAGCCTGGGTGACAGAGTGAGACTCTGGCTCAAAAAAAAAAAGAAAGAAAAAAGAAAAAGAAATCTCTTCCATTTATTGTGTGGTGGGGACTGCTATTGTCTCCCACAATATCCTTCACTGCCTTCTATAGTAACAAAAGTTTCAGCTTGATCGATCCAGCCAAAACCTACGTTATCCAGCCTCTCATGAGGCTAAATATGTCTAATTGTATGGCCAGGTTCAAGTCCACTGGGATGTGAGCAGAAACAGTGTGCGCAACTTCTAGGCTGTTCCTATGAAAGGAAAGGGGCGTGTGCTCCATTCCTTCCTCTTCCCTCTCTCATAGGCTGGAATGTGGAGGTGGTGGAGAGCCATCTTTGAACATTTGTTCCAGGAGAAGCCTGTACAGATGATAAAGCAACGAGATGATAAGAGCCTGGGTCCACACAGAGTTCACCTGTGACCTTGGGCTGCCTACCAGGACTTTTTCAAAACGAAGAACCCTTCATCTCATTTAAGCCATTGTATTATGGAAGAATTTTGTTACAGAATTCCAATGTATAGCAATAAAATTCTTCGAAGTAGTACAGGAGATGGAATCTCTCATGAAGGTTCCAACCTGGGTGGCTCCCTAAGTGTA